GTCCCCCCCCCCCCACCCCCCAGTTAGACTTTTGGATATAAATTAAATTTTCAAGTGGCTTTTAGAGAACAGCTATTTTAAGGCTTTCAACTATTTGTTCAGCATTTCTGGACTGAACAGGATGGGAAGGTCTGTAAGAGTCCATTTGCACAGTAGAGAAATGAGTAGTTGCTGACAGCCTGTTGTCAGCACTGGGTCCTCATTCACCTGTTCTCAACTATCACCAAAAACAGTTGATTGTCTGGTGTGGCTTGGACATCACAGCCCTGTGCAAGGGAACTGACAGTCGCGTGCTGTCACGTCTCACTTGTGCTGTCTGTAATGATGTTGAAAGCGGCACTTTCCATGCTAAGCTATGCTGTTTTCATCGCCTGAAAAGAGATGGTTGCTCTTTGCTGACAACAGGGTTTTGGATTATTATCTGACGGTAGGTGGCCTCAAATTGTGCCATTAGAGAGAAGCTGCTTTTTACAGGTTTAAAATGCTTGAGTCTTCTGTTTTAGTGAAAGAATCAGTAATTGTTTTACTTTGCTTATTAAATTGTCCCTCCCCAATAATATGCACTTGCGAGTTTTGAATGATTTATGAACAAATATTTATTGGGTTTCTGTCTCTGCTGTTAAAAATGGTCATGTTTATACATTCAGATATAGTTGTTGTCTGCTAATTGTGGTTGGTGGTTGTTGTTTTGTTTTTTGTTGTCCAAGAGCACCCCGTCACAGAAGCGCTCTCATTGAAAATCTTTTAATGTATTCATATTTATGTGTAAACATAAAAGATAGGAGTAAAAATCAGCAGAGGCGTGCAGTGATTCAGAGCATAGAGAGTAGCCCATCTTGAAGGCAATCGTTTTTGCCCCTTGGTTGATGAGCGATTTTTTGCAAGTTGCTGAACTCCCTAAACACTTACTGATCTCATAGCAGTTAACACCTTGCCCAAGCACGATGTTTTTAGGTGTCAGTCCACCCAACGTACTTAAGTATATTTTCATGACTATTCAGAGCATGCTACCGCAGTCAAAGGGGACTGAACAGTTGTTTGTGTTTATGCTGAATTATGTCCTTAGATAAATTGCTCAAAGTCAGTGAAACTGAGGAACTGTGATTTGGGAAATCAGTTAAACAACATCCTTCCTTAAACAACACTTTTATTTTCATTAACAGGAGCTTCCACAAAAGGAAGGAATAATTCCAATGTTAGCAATGAATCCATTCTTCTACTGTGTGTGTGGCAAATTCGGATGTAGTATTTGTATGTTTTATGGTTAAGCTATTAGAAAAAAAGTTCTATTCCTAAAATAACTAAAAATAATTAAAACTATTGCAGATTTTTAGCTTTTTTAATGAAAATAAACAAGGGTTGAAATTATTAGAAACAATGCTCAAATTCTCTTGGGAGGATTTTGAAAAAGGAAGTAGGTTTAAAGCAGCTTGTACTTTTATGCAACTACTTTTATACTTAAAAAAAAATTTACCTTTATTTTAATTCTTACAATCTAAGAGATGACATGATTGAACCTGTGTTGTGCAGTCTTCCAGTGGGAATATCAGGAGACACATTTGCAGTAGCTACCCTAGATAGGATTTCGGTTTCAAGTGCCGGGGCACCACATGTAAGCAACAGAAAGAGCATGCAGGGTCCTCGCACTCACTTGGGCTGCCTCTGATCTAGCCCGAGTCAGCGGCAGCCCCCAGAGATAGCAGCTGTAGCCCCAGGTGTTAAATATGTGACAGCAGCTTGATCTATCGACCACTGTAAGAGGGGGCTTTGGCCTAAATGAAAATTCATGAAAAATTGATGAAGTCCCCAGATTATTTTTTTTTTCCTTTTTCAGTGCTGTTGCCAGTGCAGCGAGGAGAGATTAAATGAGGTGTTGAATGCTTTAGTGGCAAGGAGGTTGTGGTTCAAAGGTCAGGGGTCGAAGGAGGGGGAAAAAAGACCAATTTTCAACCTTGCTTTCCTCTAAAAGAAAATACAAGGCTTTTTGGATTAGCTGGGATTTCCTTCCATTTTAGTATGAGAATAAAGATCAGGCATATTCACAAATAGGATTCTCTCCTGCCTGCTTTGGCAAAGGGTGGGAGCGTGTGGGTTGGTGCTAATAGAAGACAATGGAAGACTGATTCATGATTCAACTGGAGAACCAGAAATAGATTGAATTTTGTGACAGCAGTATGTATTTGGGCGTCCGTCTTTGAGTCTGTGCTTGAACTGAAGTCATTCGGAGAAAGAAAAGGTCTTGCATTATTTATGTGTCACAGATTGCTTGAGTGGCAGGCTTTGGAACACTCTCCAAACATAATGATCCTGTTTACGTTACATCCAAAACTAAATTATGTTTTCTCTGTAACAAGAGAAGATACAGCAGTACGCTGAGTTTAGTGCAAAGAATCACACGTGTATTCCAAAGCAAGCATAAAACAAATCTTAAACACTGAGAAAAAGTAATATTACAACACGTGCTTTTTGTGTAAAATGAAGTGAATAAAGGCTGAGAGGTATGAAATATACACTACCCAGTCATCTCTGTCCCGCAATAGTAATGACCTTGTTCTGAAGCATCTGCCAGAGACTACAATACATTCTTAATGGAGTTAATCCAGTTCCTTTGGATTTAGTTATTTAGGATAAAGACTACCTGCAAAATAATGTGAAAAACGGGAAAAGTATGTGATTATAAGATGGAAGATTTTTTCATCCAGTTTCTATTCAACAAATAATTAAAAATAAAAAAAAATAATGAATTTTGTAATTGCAATTTGAGTCTGATTTGCTTTGATCTGAGTTACCTTTACATATGGAGAATGCATCCTGTTCATTTCTTTGCCCCTGACTGGTCCTC